TAATAATAGTAAAAATATTTTTAAATGAAAAAAAATATCTTCTAGCTACTCGAAGAGAGAAAAGACTTGTCAATCTGTCCTTAAACATATTACAGTCTAGAAAACCCTCTGAGGAAATTCTTCTTTGTGGTACAGTGTCAATAGGAGTTGGAATTGACCACATACAAAAGTAACAAGATAGTGAGTGCTGGTGGCCTACTGGTAAGAAGCTACACTGCAATCTCAAAGACATGCGGTATGAATCGCCAGATGCACCACTGGAGAGGGAGGGGCAATCTCCTCCTGTCCCAGTTGGATCTGATTTGATGGTACAGAACAAGAAGAAGAAAAAGAAAATATTATGTATACTAAAATAGCTTGACTAGACCTTGGAAAAGAGCAACTTTTAAGAATACCACCATCTTCTATATTTGAATAAGGAACATACATTTAGTTTTCTATTTGCTGATTCTAGAAATGTCTGTCTGTGTATGTTAAGTAGTAGTTGGTCTTTAATAAAAGCATATGTTAAACATCATTTTCTGTATATAAAATGTATTTCTTTGTATTTTTTAAATTTCTAGAGTGTACATATATTCTATACCAAGAACTTCAAATATTGCCAGTTTCTTTGGAAGTAAAACCTGGAGTACCAGTTGACATTTCTACACGTGCCAATTTAAAACAGCATGTGTGAAATGAATTTAACCTATAAATTCCAGAATTACAGTGTAATTCTTTCTATATCAAATACATGAATGAATATTTAATTTTTAAATGTTATTCTTCTTACATAAATGATATATAAGGGATACAAACCTTTTTCAAAGTTTTGTGTTTCATTTCAGGAATTTATACTTAATAATGATTGAGGATGGGGTTGGATCAAATATCTTTCAATGTTTTTCTTTAATTAACCTATTTAGTGAATTTTCATATTATCCAGTTTTGTTTTACAGTTGTATTTTCTCTCTTTGTATGCCATAGATATTGCTCTATACCACCTTTCTTTTGGGTAATGAGAATCATTGAATGTTTAGTCCCTCTAATAAAACATATACTTTTCATTTTCACTATCTGTTCAGTAGCTGTGTTAGACAGATAGTGTCACTATAAACCAGATAAGGAAAGGAAGACTCCCTAAATTCAGAGAGGAGAAATAGACGGAACAGATTTATCCAGCTGGTATAAGTAGATCCAAGAATGCAAATCCAGGGCTTCTTTGTGGCCAAATGTCTCTCTAGATTCATTAATGTGCTCAGTTCCTTTTTGTCTTTGTTGTTAGCTGCTATCCAGTTAACTCTCAACTTATGGTAACTACATGAACAACTGAACGTCCTGCTTTGTCCCCATGTGGGGTTAAGATCAGACTGTTAGGATCCAGAGGATTTTGCCAGCTGATTACTTAGCAAAAGATAAATCAGGCCTTTCTTCCATTTTTTATTGTTGGGTCCTATTGGGTCAACCCCAACTCATAGTGATTGTGTATACAGTATATTGAAATCCTGCCCAATCCTGTGCCAGCTATATAATCTCCACTGTACCCATTGCTGAAATAACTGTCAATGAAGGTCTTCCTCTTCTTCACTGGTCCTCTGCTTTTCTTACTGTCTTAATTTGGAGGCTGCACATTCTCCTAAGTGGTATAGTCGTGATCTGTGCATTGCTGTACAGAGGTAACTTTTCGTTGCTGTAATGCTGAACACTGTGATACTGATGTGTGAGATGTGATAATGGTTACCCATGGTGGACAGTATTTGGTGGAGCTCCCTGATTAAAACAAGCTCGGAAGCAGGAGTGGCATCCACTTCTGAAAATAGCTGCCTCCAGAAACTCTATAAACTTGGAGAAATGATGAAAGGTATACAAGTGTTCAGGTCTTTCGTTTATAGGGTCGCTATGAGTTGTCTATGACTAGATGGCACTTAACAACAACAACAACTCTGAAATAGATGGCACTTAACAACAACAACTCTGAAATTTATATGGCCTCAGAGCAACATGAAAGCCTACACTGATAGATAGATGGTAGTTGAGTCTGAGCTGTGTATTTCCCGGAATCAAATAAACATTTCTTGCATGGAAGGCGAGGATTCTAGAATCATCAACTTGCCAGTTCTTATTAACCCTCTTTAGATCCATTATGCATTTATGTACACATTCAGATGTCTCTCTGCTTCTGAGGCTCTGATAGCTGCATGACAGAGTTCATACTTCCCTGTGCTTCTAGGTGCTGCTGTGGGGTTATATTTAGTGTTCTGATGAGAATGAAACTTGGCTGTTTCCTGCATTGCCGTGAGAAGAAATGCTAAAGTGTTGGCATTCTGTACTTTGGACAAGCCCTTGTCTCTATTTTGTGTGGCCTAGCATTCCTCTGCCTGGCTCCTTGTTCGTCTCACTTGTGGTTTTACTACTTAAGACATGACCTGGAAATGCTTGTCTAGCTACCTCAAACAATAAATGCACAGACTCACTGCCCCCCACCAATGGTTTTGCAATTTAAAGTGGTTTGGTATTAAGACTATTAGAGGAAGGAAGGAAAAGGAGATGGAAAATGAGTTGGAGGTCTTGGGTGTGGCCCTTGGTTCAGAGAAATCCACATCTTAAGATATGCCTCAACTAACCAGGTCCAGGTGGGTAGTGCCTATTTTGAGGCCCAGCAGAAAGTTGGGAAGACAGAACTTCCCTGTCCCTCACTAAAGCCCTCCAGTCTTCAGCTCTGAGTCCTGGTGGGAAAAAGCCACCAGGTACTTGTTTGGCTTCTGTCTGTCTCTGGCTCAGAAAATGACCCAGAACTTTCTTCCAGAACTCAGGTCTCTTTTGTGGTCTGTGAAAAGGAAGAGGTTGTGGGAGTTCCCAGGAGACTTTTGATGCCATTTGTTGCTGTAGTTTAAGTCTTTGAGTTAGGTTCTTGGTTACCTTATGATCTGTTTTATGTCTAGCTCTCATCCAGTCAACAACAAAGAACCTTATATTGAAAGCCATAACCTATGAGTCTAGAGGTCTTAAGTTATGAAAGATTATTTACTACTTCAAAGAGAGGAAATTAAAAAAAGGTGGGAGGAGGACGCTGTAAAATAGCGTGTGGCTGGTCTTTCCCTCAAAGGAGCAGAAGAAAAAGGGAGAGTTGTGCTAACTTGACCACTGCAAGTCATAAAAGTCACCCTAATTAAACCAGCAGTGCAAATGGACACTCTATAAGCATGCCAAGACTCAGAAGAAGTCAGTCTGTGGACAAGGCAGAATTCTCATTTAAAAGCAAAGTGTATTGACTCTCTAGCTCTGCACTTGTAGAGAAGTCCCTTCCCTGTTGTATGCTGCTTTAACACCAGGGACAATTCTGCAATTCCTTCAGCCTTAGAACCTAAGTGAAGCCTGGAGAAATGCACATACACCTTTGTAAGGACCTGTGCTGAAGTCTTTGAGTTAGGTTCTTGACTGTGCTTATTAAGACATGGAAGAGCAAGGCATTTTGGAATTTTCTCTAAACAGAAATTAAGACCTATGTTGAGCTCAAAGGAAGAAAGCAAGCAAAACTCAAAGTACTGCATCAAACAATTTTAGCCTGAGAAACAAGCCCTCCAGATCTGATTTAGGCATTAAAATCTTTCTATTAACATTAAAAGATTTCCAGTGAACAAAGTTCCATTGTGAACAAAGTTCCATTATGCACTTTGAAAGTCTGTCATAGTTTTGATCAGCTTAGACTTTTAGGAATCTTCCTTATAAATACATTGATTTTTTTTCTGTGCTTCAGTTTTAGCTGATTTATCAGCCATGATAAGGGTATATATGTACTTAGACACCAAGAAAATGGCATAAGAACAAGCAGCTTGGGAGCTTTTAATCTCAGAAGTAAAAGACTATCTATAACAACCTCTTTCTCTCTGTGCATCACATAATTCATATGCCTTGAGAGGCTCTGATGAAAATGTAAGGAGAGACTCAAGGAGAAAGGGTATAGATATAACCATTTATGGCAGTGCCAAGCTTTAAGGCCAGAACTAGATATTAGCCTGAAAATAATCTTGTCTGCTTCTCTCATTTTGAAGATAAGGGACTATTGAATTACTAGATAGATAATGTCTTTGGTGATGCTCTTTTTGAATGATCTTTCTGACAAATTGAAAATAAGATTCAAATAAACAAAATGCAATTGAAATAAGCAGATTCGGGGAGAAAATATAAGAAATCCAACTGCTAGAAGTTATCTTCTTTTTATCTTATCTTGACTTGTAGTGTGACCTTGGGTGTCTTTCTGTATCTACTCCAAATTTTTCTCATTTGAAAAGAAAAAGGAAGCCCACTTTCTATTACTGTGAAGTAGCTGAGAAGAATAAACAGGATGTCACATGTCTTGATATCCTAATAGACATAATAACTCATATATGTTTTTATATGCTTATACCTAGGTGTGTTTCAATAGACCAGGATTAGCCACATCGATTTTCCTTTTCTTAACGTCTGATGGTCTGGTCCCTGGGAAACATCAAAGATCTACGGTGACCCTTCAGTTGACTGACATCAGTGGAAACAATCATTCTCTTGGTGAGTTTGACAATTATCCCTGAATTCCATTAGGAGACAATTGAATTAATTTAGCTATCAGCCTGATCTGCCTTTTCTATTGTCTGGGGCCTTGCCTACATCACACAGCTATTGGGAAAAGAAAGTAAACACTAGCTATGGAAACATGTTTAGAGGAGTAACATTCAGATTAAGACAGACTAGGAAGAAGGATTGGCCATCCACTTCTGAAATAGCAGGCCTCTGAAAACCCTATGTACAACAGAACACAAGTAGACTAACAGAAAAGGCAACATAAGTAGAACTTTGAAGTATGGAAATACAAAAGAAGAGGAACAGTTGTAAGCAGACACTAGTGATTGGAACATGGAATGTGAGAACCATGAATGTAGGAAAATTAGAAATTGTTAAGAAAGAAATGG